CCTGCCGTTGCGCCAATATCAGTCTTACCCGCATTGAATATAGTTGTTTTTGTAGCTCTTTGTTATTTGTCAGTACACCAGAAAGACTGGCATTCTGATGATACGGCCTGATGCCAAGTGTAAACAGTGTGCCTGAAAAAGAAAAGAAAAAGATTATTATTTAGCTTTGTCAAGTGGCCAACAGTCACACAATAAGATCGAATGTAACAGTGTGTAATTGTCAGCACTCTGCCAGGAAATAAACAGCAGACGTAAATGAAAACTCATCAGCTTTTGCTGCGGCAATCTGTCCAGGAGGAGCAAGGGCCTGCAGGGCGCTTCTCAGACCTTGTTCAGGCAGCCATGGGACGGCACACACTTCTAGAATGAATAAATGAACAGAGACGACAGTCGTTGTAGGTGTGCCTCGGTCGACCCGGAAACAGTATCATTGTGCTCAACTCACCAGCAGCTGGGGGGTTGCCGAACCAGGCTACTCTAGGGAAGCTGGGAAAGTTAGGTTCTGTACAGCACCGCTTGGAACTTCCTGGGGAGCCTCAGCAGGACCCACTCGCCTAGAATCGACAAAGACGTCACTAGCGATAGGTGAGCCTCAGTTGACCTGGAAAGAGTATAGGATTGCCAAACTCACCAACAGCTGCGGTCACTGAGGCAGATTGCCCCGAGGGTAACGCTCCGCTTGGACTTTGCTGGGGGCCCTCCGGAGGACACACACTCCTTGAATGGACAGAGATGGCATTAGTGGTAGGTCTGTGTCTTGGTCGACCAATAAACAGTATCGGTTGCTGCGGTTGCTGCAGCAGTCGGTTCTGGGGATGTTTCAGTACTGTGGGCATTGCCTTGTGGTGTACTATTCAGGTTATGCCGGGGTGCCTCGGAGACTTTAGGGAGCCAACCAAAACAAATAAATGGAACTGCATTTTTTAATGGAGGCATCAAAAATTAGCAGTCTGTGCATCGAATTTGTATTGTAAAACAGATAACGTGTCTTACTGAAGAAAACAAAATGGTTTGTGAGATGTTGTACATACCACTTACATTTCCAGTTCCCTTGCAGGGGTGGTTTACTTTCTTGGTTGAAAGTAACGAAAAAAGATATGTTTGGAAGAACACCTTTCCTCAATTTTTCGCTCTACTTTATTTTGCATGTTTAGTGTTTTGAATTGGTCAATCCTGAAGTGGTCCTGTAACCACTTCAGGATTGATGTGATGTGATGTGCTCCGACAAAAATTCGATCACGAAAGAGATCGAATTTTAGTCGGAGCACATCATGTAACACCACCTCACACGCCCGTTTCTGCAGATCCTAGGTTAGCCTGCCAAAGATCTGCACGTAAAGTTTGCGCTGTCAAAGCTGCTCGCGCGAGTATGGGGTTGATCTAAAATGTTTTATTTGCTTGCGTTTTTGTTTCAATAAGACTGAGAGCGAAGGAGACCCTATTGACACTACGAGAGCGAACGCACTTTGAGCGGGCTAAGCACACACGTTCGTCCAGTAAGAGCGTCGACAGAGAAAACATACTCGTGCTTGTAGCACTGGCTCCGCTCGCAGTCATATTGAAATGGAGCATAGATACATCCACATACTCGGGTCCGCAGCCGCGGCAGTGTTGCAAGCTATGTGTGCGAAATAAAGTATGGTACGCGAACACGTACGCAACACTTGACGAGAGCGCGTACTCCTGATGCCAAGTGCAAGCACGAGCAGGAGCTGTTGCGTTTGAGAGCGCTTCACTTCATTGCGATTGCGAGAACGCAGGACATCCACACTTCTTTTGTCGCAAGCCAAGCGAATCCTTGAATTGGATTCCACGCTTCATACAAAGCACAGGTGTGACGGTCACTCACTTTCGTTTCTCGGCGCAACGCAGTTAAACGCTTTCAAACGCAACCGTGCGTAGGGGCCTTTACTTCTACGGCACGGGCGTCCGTGCATGTCAAGTTGGCAATGTTATGCTCGCTATTACAACGCTCGCGTTTACGGTGGAATGGAGTGCATAATTCGCTCTAAACAGCTGTCTTCTTGCATTGCTGGTGAGCTTTATAACGAGCACTCACCACGCATAAATTTCCGGCTCCCGTCGGGTTGATATCTTTTCGACCGATTCGGTGAAGCAACATCTTCCTCCGAGGTTCATTTTCCGTTTCCGAGGGAACACAGAAAAGCTTTCCGGCCGACGTTTCTACCTGTGCAGCAGCCCGTCAGCTGCGGCGTAGCAACATCTTGGGAAATTCATAACGACCAGAAGTCCAAAACCGAAAGCCAGATATCACGTGACGACCGGCCAATAGTGTTCCCGGCGGCTAGTTTAAAGAATAGCGCCGCTTTTCCCAACATAGGGGGGCCTTATGTTAAGCCTGTTCCTTCCATGGCGGGGGGGCCGCAGCGCCATGGAGTGGCGTTCCTTGCAACTAGGGCGCGCGGCCAGGCAAGGGGAGTTTATTCTGCGTTCCGCTGCTACAGACTACAGGCTTCGCTCCATTGGGACAGGGGACTTTAGGTGCCGTTTGGCGTGGCTTCAAGAGCTGATAACGCCGGTTCGCTTCATTAAACAGTTCATCCTTCCGCGTTAATATTTTTTTGCAGGACGTCGAAGGAATACAGAGGAGCCTGTATTTCACTTCGTCAGGACCACAGGTGGTACAAAACTTCTTTAAGCACAGAGCCATTTCTGAATAACGTGCCGCGCTCCGGTTGCACTCAGACCTCGACGACGACGCCGTCAATATCAGAAGCTGTTTTTACACAAAAACAGCGGTGTCCCTTTTAATGGAATGGCTAAAAAATTGAACATTAGTCATGGCTCGGTGCACTAGATGATTCACGATATTCTGCTGTACCATGAAGTATCCGCCAGAGGGTACTAAGGAAATTTATACCGGACATTAGGGAGCGCCGTGTGGATGCGTGCAAGACGTTCCTCCGACGTTATGAAGCTGAGGAAGACTGCTTTATTCAACGCATTGCTTCTTGGGACGAATGTTTAATCCGCTTTGCCCAGCCAAACATCTAGCGGGCAAGCAACGAGTGGAGGCACACTTCGTCTCCGATACCAACGAAGTTCCGGGCAGTTCCGAAGTAAGGCAACGTTAGGATCACGGTCTTCTCTGACCGTGAACGACCAATAGTCGAAGAATACATACCAGAGGGTTTATTGTTAACCGCACGTGGTATTCTGACCTGTTTGAGATAACTCGAACTTTGTGATCAGGTCAAAGTGCTGTGGTTTGCCGACCTTTGGCGTGTTGCTGCAGCACGACAATGCGCGCGCTCACACGGCACGTGCGACAGTGGAAACAAAAATCAAGGGTCTACGTTTTCAGTTCATGTGATGCCGTATCCGCCATACTCAATGGACCAGGCACCGAACAATTTTCATTTGTTCGGTTCACTCAAAAAAGGTATCGGAAAACTAAAGTTACGTACGGGGGGGGGGGGGGGGGGGGGGGGGGGGGTGAAATGAGCAAAGAGCTTCAGTGCATCTTTGGGTATGGAGTCACAAGCAAGATGTTTTCTTCAGCCACAGCCTCGTGTTGCTGAAGCGCTGGCGCACATGTGTTAAACGCGTTGGAGACTATGTTGAAAGAGCGGCAAATTTATTTTAATCCTGTTCACATTTTAGTAATTTCTGTCGGTTCCACAAATGTATATAATTTATTTAACTGGTCAATGGATGGCCAATGTTTAGGTTACAGAGGCAATGTTGGCGTTCGTCTCGGCCGCTGCTCCCGAATCGTCTCGCTCCGTGTAGGTTTGTGAGTGGCCGACTCCGTGTGCTCCTCTCCCTGGCTCCTCCTCGCGGCGCAGAACCTGCATCGCGTCTGCCGGAGAAAGTTTCTGCAGTTTCTTTCACACGTGGAACCAAGAATCGCGATACAAAATGAACCAGCGAACACAAAAAACACAACGATGCGCCATTTTTGTTTTGATCGTCCAAAAACAAACCAAGAAAACTACGTGCCGTTGCCAGATTGAACGCTTTTCAAGTCAATCTCCCGCCAAAAATCCGCGAGTGAAAAAGGCGCTCGACTTTATCAGTCTGCCCGTCCGCGGACGAGGCGCGGATCGCAGGAATCGGTGACGTGCCGGTCACGTGGTACACGGTCCGCGGACGGAATTCGCGATTCGGTCCCTCGTGTGAATCGGCTATAAACAGCAGGCCGAATGTCGACCCCCACTGCGCACGGGGTCTTTCGAAAATGTAATACAGGGGACATCTTGGTGGAGAGGAACGCGCCCTCCGCTATGGCTGACGGCCGGACCACCACACTGCTGCTAGGTTGCTAAAAAATATATAGCGTTTACTTTTTGACTGCCTCGTACAACACACGGGAAACGATTTTCTTTACTTTTTTCTACGATTGTGCGGTCATTTCGAGCTTTTTTTAATTGTATGCTCTTTTTTTATTTTCAAGGGATTTATCATGTCACTGTTTTTTTTTTTTCTTTTCAGTTAATTGCTCAGTTTTACATAATAACGATGACCCTTAAACAGTTTTACCTAAGAAAATGTTGGGACTTTCGCGCGAATACTTTTTTACGTTCTATTAACCCTCGTTCGTGACAAAAAAAAAACCCTCTGAGTTTTACTTTAAAACATTTGCATGAGGGTGCCCAATTCTGCTATCGACGAGAGAGGCTAAAGCGATACCGATAGTTTGTAAGTTAACTAAAACATAGCCAAATAAATAACTTTAAATTAAAATCCCGGTCACGATGCATGCCACGTCAGGTTCTAGATGTAAAAGAAAATACAAGTATATTTCGAAAAGCAAATATGCCGGTTTGTTGGCATTGCAAGCGGCAATTCAGGTTGGGTGACCTTAGGTGGATGAAAAAACAAAGTTGTCTCTGCGAATGGACTTTCAAACGACAATTTTAATTGGTTTTTGCTCGAAATAGAATTCCCGAACAATACCAGCATTAAGTGGCATCCGGTTCTGCTACGCAGTCCATAGGGGCTATAAAAACCTTGTCGGAAGGTATAGAGATGTACAGAACCAAAGATCTTGTTGGTATTCATTGCAGAGGTGAGCCAAAACACTAACCGTTTTATTTTCTTTGTCGCACTTTTTTTTCCTCAAACACTGACTAAGTTTTACTAACTATTTTGTAAGTAATATATTTTAAATAATGAAGGTTCCCTGCAACATTTACTCATTTCTAATTCAATCTTTAATTACTGTTTGGCCATAAAATGAAACTAAAAGTCCCTGAAATAGTGTAAAAAGTCTAGATTGAATGGCAACATAAAATTGATGCGTTGGATGCAACTTTTTGAACAAAGCATTTCTGTAGGGTAGGGGAGGGTCTATTGTGTTTCCAGAATGATATTTATAATATTACAAAGCAATGTGAGGCACAAAAAGGGTATTTTTGCTACAGTATATTATTTACCGAAGAACTGGAAAAATGGTGGGACACCTAATTTTTCGCCTGTTTTATTTTATTAAATATTTATGGGTAAAGCATCTTGTTTTGTTCATTGTTTTATGCAGGATTGGAAACAAACTTTTCAATATGCTTGGCAGCACTGGAAAATGCTTGATCGTAATTTTAGGTGAGTTGGTTCTTCTATGTGTCAAGCTGAAGTGTTTTGGAATGCTTAATTTTTGACAAGAACAATACAGAGATGCTTGAAAACTCCTCCCCTCAAAAAATGTTTCTAAGTAATGTCTAACCTGCGTCAGGGTTTTCATTATCCCTGCTTCTATGTTGGTGGACGTGGAAAGCACTAAAAAAGAGGAAATATTGGTGAATAGTTAGCTCATTTTCTTTAAAACATTATTACTTTAACCTTTCTTATTTATTTCTCGGGGTCATAAAGTTTTTTAGAATTGACGTTTGTCTTCACTTCGGTCTAGCCGTGCATAAAAATCGAAACTAAGCGCACACAGACCGCCAATGACGTCGATCCTTCCGCCCCATGCACTGCTTTCCACTGCTGACGTCACCTACGGCGCGGACATAAGAGTCGGCACTACCCCAGTCGGCTTCGCTTGTGAATCCGGCTACTCTGTGCACGGAACTTGCTGGGATAGGTAGAGTTCGGTTGGTACTCTAGGCGCTTGAAGTCAGAGACGTGTTGCTAGCAACAGTTCAGAAACCAGTACGTCTCCTTCGCACGGGGCTATGCAGACGTAAAGGTTGTGATAGTCGCTGGCTGCTGTTTTGTCGCATTATTAAGGGAGCCGTGCAGCGATAATGCGTAGGAATGTTTCTCACTTTACACACGCTTACTGGCACTAGTGGGACCCAAGCAAACACGTACGCAACGCCACGGGCCAAACAGCTTCTTCGTCGCCGCGTAATAAACCATATGCGAAATACGCAGCGCCATCTAGTGGGCTGCCAAAGAACATGCTTCGTCTCACCAGCTGGCTTCGGCGCTGGAAAAGGTAGCAAAGGTCAGGACGTGAAACCGTAGTTGTGAAGAATCCTTCGCTCGTACGAGCACTCTCGCAGAGAAAGCGTTTTCGAAAACAGCCCGCGCCCGTGCCTTTGCCGGCACTCACAGCCAAACTTCGAGCAGATGTGTACGTCCGCCATGTTGATTGAGGCGAGAAACCAGCGTCCGGCGGTGCGTCGAGCACGTAAAATAATAATAATAACCCTTAGCTCGCAGGTGTGGGTGAGGATAGTTGACGGCGAGCAGTAGGCCTCGATTGTTACCGACAAGGCTCCGGAATCAACAAACAGCAGAGAAAATTCGACGTAGCAGAGATGGCAGCGCACAGTGTTGCCAGACGTTCGAACATTTTCTCATATGTTCTATTTCAAGGATAAAAGCCAGCGTTTTCTCTCAGTCTCCCTCCCTTTCGCAAAACTTGATGACAACGTTGTGGGGGAGGCATTGTTGGCGTTGTCAACAATTTGATCCCCGCGGTGGCAATATATACGTGCGGCTCACACTGTGAACACGAACGTAGCGTGAGCATTCGATTTGGGCTCGTGACAATCAATGCCTCGACATGCACTTGGGCAGTGACTCGTTGCCGCTCGCTGCGATGACGGCCATATACTCCGTTCGCCCTTAAAGGGGTACGGAAACGATATGACGTGAGCGCGAGCTCTCTACGCCTCGCTTCTAAGTCGGCCAGCTAGAAGCGCGATGCGCGTCGCGCTCGTGACGTCGATAGTTCTCGCACGATCAGGGGTACTGTAGTTGCGAGTCTTGCCGCTTGGTGGCAATAACGCGTGACCATCTCGCCTAGTAGTAATATTCGAGGACTGTGCGCCCTATGGCCAGTATACATAGCTTCCCCATAACGACATTCGCGGTCATGCCGGTATTTTATGTGCCACGAGGGGGGGAAGACAAACACAGCGTTTCAAACCCAGTTACTAATTTTTAATCACCAAACTTCCTCATTATATCTAGCTTTTTTGGTTTGTCATTTATTTTTCGGCGTAAGCTAACGCTGCAATCTCATTGACAGCGGAGCAGCAATGAGATGCTCAGAATTCGCAACGCCATTCGCCCTTTTGAACTGACACGGACTACAATGTCTTAACCACCATTACGTGTTTCAATTTTTTTTTTGTAATATAGAACGACAATATTAGAACACATGTGCTCTTATTAGACTTGAGAGAGAATATATCTGTGCACGTTGTAATGTGCCTCGACGTTGGGAAAGTGTATCATTGGATGTCGCTTTAAAGCCGAAGACTGATTCGCACACTTGTCGGTACTGCTTACGACCGCGAGTGCCTTGTGATCTGAAGGGACGAGAGACTGGCGCCATCTAACGGGGTGCCGGGGAACCCTTGGTCCGTGTGTTTCTCTTTTCTTTTTTTTTTTTTTTTTGCGCATCGCTTTTTCTTTGTTGGCTCTAAAACATCTTTTGGCGATGTTTTGCAGTCAACTGCAGAAGCTTCGCTCTTTAGGGAAATGCAGTTCCAGAATCCCCTCATAGATGGTTCCAGCGTGCCGGTGTGTTTCCTCATAATAAGAGATCACAAGAACTCTGTCGTAAACAAAATGGCAAGCGTGTGAACCAGCCTCGAGTGGTTGCACCTTCGCACGGCGTTTTCGGTCGTGCAAGTGTTTTTATTAAACTTCCTCTCACTTTCAGTTTTGGCCGTGGTCCTTCATGATGTCGTCGGAATCGATGCGGTCAACGGAACTTCCGGACAGGATGCCTGGCAACAACTCATGGACTACTACGCTAAGATGCGGGCATATTATCAGAAAGTCATCGAGGATGCCCGTAACCGAGTCTCCGGGAACGGGACTTCAGCCTAGAAGCATTCCCATTGAGAGAACTACGTTCATTGATGCTAAACCACTGTTTAATTCGAAGTATGCATCTACAATAAAAGTTCTCGAAGGAAGTGTCTGCGGTAAAACTTCTAGATACGACACCGTTATCGAGAGTACACACCGTTGGGACTTGAAAGTAAACATATTTGACAAATATCTGCCTGGTTGGGTGTGAGTTAAAGTCTGAAAATGTATCTCCAACCAAAAATTGAAAAGCAACCCGACGTTTCAAAACCAACAGGGTTTATTCTTCAGGGGTGACTGAAGGCACACGGACACACCGGCAGCTCCCAACCTCTTCGTCTTCAAAAAAGAAAAGAAAAGAAAGAAAGAGAAATGGAAAAATTAAAAGGAGAAGTTAGGAAATTGAAAAAAAAAGATGTAAAATAGCTTGTTAGTTATGAAGATGGTCGTCTCTTCAGCTTTTCCGTCAGGTCACGCGTAGGCCATGAGCGTATACAGAGGGCAGAGCGCCCAGCGACCTGTTTAGGTTTCCTGGCGTGTGCTGGATTTGCCACAATTACAAGAAAAGTCTTCTTAGAAAATTGGGCTCTGTGTCCACCACGTGCGCGTTCGCGAAGTCAATGAGTCGCTGTGTATCTCGTAGGGTATCGCAATGTTCGGCGATGGCGCTGCGCTCACTGTCAAACTTCCGTACGTCGTTCTTGTGTTGGCGGATATGCTCGGGAAAGTTCTTTGTCTCGCCGATGTAGGTTGCGGGGCACTCTGCGCAAGGAATGGTGTAAACCACGCCCTGTGCTTTTTCCTTTGGTAGACGGTCTTTCGGTCTTGGCGTAAACCTTCCCAGTGTGGACGTGGGCTTGTGGCCACCAGAATACCTTCCTTTCCCAGTACTCGTGCGAGCGCTTCGCAGGTTCCCTTTACGTAGGGAACGCTTAAGCGCGCGACTCGATGGGGCTGTCGTTCTTCTATTGGCATCTGGTTTTGTCTGGCGAGACCTTGGCGTCGGGCGATGCGCTCAATAAAGCTACTAGAGTAGCCATTTCTCTTTAGGTCTTCAATTACGGTCTTCTTCTCCTTCTTTCTATCGGTTTCCGACGAGCAGATAGTCGTTGCCCTACGCAGCAGGGTCGAAACCACTGAGGCCTTATGACTCGTTGGATGGTTGGAGTCAAAATCGAGGTAGCGCCCGGTGTGTGTTGGTTTTCGATACACCGCAAACGTCACATCTTGTCCTTGTCGGTTCACCAGCACATCAAGGAACGGCAAGGTGCCATCCGTCTCATATTCCACGGTAAATTTAATGGCCGGCTCGATAGATGTGAGGTGCGCCAAAAAATTAGTCACGTCCCGTTCCTTGAGAATGCAGGAACAATCATCTACATAGCGCATGAATACTTTGGGGCTGTTGGGGAAAGACCTCAGCGCTTTTTGCTCGATTGCCTCCATCGTGAGGTTCGCCGTTGTGACCGAGATGGCCGCACCTATTGCAGTGCTACTGACCTGTTTGAAAAGCTCCCCTTTGAAGGCGAAGTATGTGCTCCCGAGACGAAACTCGAGCAGACGGCACAGCTCCTCCACAGTGAGATTGGTTCTTGTGGTCAAGGAGCTGTCTTTTTTGAGAGCTTCGCGGGATGCAGCAACTGCAAAAGGAACTGGGACACTTGTGAAGAGGGACACCACGTCGAAAGACATCATGGCGTCACTGTCGCTGAGATGTATTTGCGAGGCGCGTTCCACGAAGTGGCCAGCATTTTCTACATGGGTCGACGTGTTTCCGACGAGGGGAGCCAAAGTCCGGTGAAGATAATTGGATAGAGCCCGAAGCGGTGCTGTTGTAAAGTCCACAATAGGTCATAAAGGCACATTGGGTTTGTGGATCTTTGGAAGGCCATAAAAAACCTGGAGCGGAGCCATTCCTGCAAATAAGTCGCAAGTAAAGGCTCTAGGACTCAGGGTATTTTTTGAAAATCTCTGCCAGGATTTTGTTCAAGTTCCTCTGAACCTGTGGCGTCGGATCTTGTGCCTGCTGTTCATTACAATATCCAACCCCCTCCCTAGCCTAAAGAACCGTAACCAAACGGTGTTCTTTTTTCATGTGTTTTTTAGGAACTTGAGTGTTAGGGCCGGAGGGTTAAAGTAGGTTTGCGCAGTTCTCTCAGGTACCGCTCCTTAGGGTGCGACGAGAAATATTGTCACGGGTGGTGACCAATAAACAAGAAATAAACAGGAATAAATAAACGTTTAATGTGGCGAACTTGTGCCAAAAATAAAAGGAAATAGAAAGATAACAACAGAGCGTCGCGGGCGTCGAAGGCGGCGAAGCAGCAAGGTCGAACGCTGAGGCGAAACTGACTCGACAAGGTTACGGGTGGCCTCTTATCTAGAATGAGGCACTATCTCGAAGATTCGGCGGAGAAGGTTCGAGCGTAGCGCGCTCGGGGCGAGAATGAACACGCACTTTCTAGAACAACATAAGCAGGGATAAACGACAGAAGTTATGTCCGGAGCAAGAATAAACGAGAAAGTTCTAGAAGTCCGTGACCTTGCGCGCGGCAATATGTAGGAGAGGCAGTGCGGAAGCTGAGCCTAAGTGAGCAGGCTTCACTCGGTCGATAGATACCACTCATTCTTGTTTACTAACAAATATCGTAAAAGTCTAGGTGTCTCTATGTATGATGGAGAACGGCCCATCGTATGGTGATTGTAGAGGCCTCTTGACGCCGTCGTGCCAAAGAAAAGAAAAACGTGCTAGCACTTTGCGAGATCTGTACCGATGAAAGTGTTGCGCGTGGAAAGGATTCTTGATGCTATCGGCCGCAGGTCTTGCGTCGGAAGCCGCAACCAATGGACGTATTTTCCGAGCTGGAAATTGGAGGGTTGCTTGCTTGGTGATCGAAAGAATTCTCCTGGTATGAGAACGAATGTCCCATATACCAATTCCGCTAGGCTACAATTGAGGACGCTTTTGAATGCTGTCCGCATGACTAGCATCACCGAGGAAAGGGTCTCATTCCACAGAAACATTTCATCTAGAGCTTTTGTGGCCACTTTCAATTGCCGGTGGAATCGCTCTACCATTCCATTGGCTATCGGATGGTAGGCGGTAGTGTGTATGTAGAGTGCACCCAGTGATTGAGACAAATTGCGAAACAGTAACGACTCTGACTGCAGCCCGCGATCTGTGGTAACTGTCTTGAGTTCCCCAAAGCGAGTCAGCCACATTTCGACGAGCGTGCGGACGAAGGTCTACGCTGATGTGTCTTTCATGGGGGCTATTTCCAGCCATCACGTAAACCTCTTGACGCAAGTTGAGAAGTAACGGCAGTCGTGCGATGGAGGGAGCGGACCGACACGATCGGCATGAATGTGGGCAAATAGCGCGTCAGGTGGATTGAAGGCGATCAACTCAGTGACATCATGAAGCTGATACTTGTAGCGTTGGCATTGGATGCACGTTCTTGTCCACTATCGCACGTCAGTGTTCATGCGCGGTCATACGAGCCGAGAGCCCATGAGTCGCTGTGTATCTCGTATGCCAGCATGAGCCTGTGAGTGAACAGCTTCAAAAACCTTGCGCCCGAATAATATATGTCCAACGGGCGGGGAGGGCCAGTGGACACGTCGCAGGCCACTGTGTCACAAGAGCCGTGCACCTCCATATCTTCGGACACGAGTGTGCTAGGTGATGTTCGTAGGCGTTGGAGTTCTGCATCCTCTTGCTTGGCTGCAGTCAGTTCTGTGTATAGGATATCTCGGGACAGTCGGAATCGGAGAGGTTGACACCTAGCCGGGAGAGTGCATCTGCTGCGGCGTTGTCGGAACCTTTTACAAAGCGGATATCGGTTATAAATTCGGATATGTAGAGAAGCTGTCGGTCTTTTCAAGGTGTATGTGTCGTGCTGTTCGACTACGTGAAAGCCTCGTGATCCGTGAACACATTAAAATGGGGGCCATCATTAAAGTGTCGAAACTGTCATAAGGCGAGATAAATGGCGAAGGGCGCTGGACCAAAAGTGCTGTAGCGGGCTTTAGTGGCACTTAAACATTTCGAGAGAAAAAAAAATGCCAGAGGACGCCAGGAGTTCCCAATGAGTTGTAGGACCCACCCGACAGCGGTGTCTGAGGCCTCAACGATGAGGGAGGTGGAAGCGTCACTTCTGGGATTCATAAACATAGTGGTGCTTGCGATGGCCCCTCTGACTACTGTAAACGCTTCTTCCGCTTTCTGTGTCCATTGCAGCGGTGTTGCTTTCATCTCTGGGCTTTTGAGAAGGTCGTGCACAGAGTTTTTCTATCCTGTGCGCACAATACATCGAAACTATTTTCTGTGAAGCATGACGAATATAAGAATTCAACTTTATAAAAAAAAAAAAAAAAAAAAAAAACGTGAGCAGATGCACTTTGATGTACAAACCACACAATTTGTTCGAAAAGAACGTATGCGGAGAATCGCCATGCAAAAGATTTTAAATCAGTCCTTCCCTAGCTGATAAATAATTATCTATTTCAGTTCTCTCCTTTCAAATGTGTGCAGTGAGCCAAATGACAAATACGGAACGAGCATACCCACGCAAAAAATTTCGCACGAAGCACTTTTTTTCTTTTTTTAATAACATGCAAAACTGCGTCGCGCGGCCGATCCCTTATTGGCTGCATACCATGAAAGCATATTTCGTACAAAAATAGGCCGACTCGGCTTGTGACACAGAAATATATGTAGTACAGCACCTGCGTTCCAACTACTAATGACAGCCGTTTTCATCGATTTTAAAAGTGTGTATATAAAGTGAGTTTCTAAGTACCACGATAGAAACGACTGGAGGGCAGCCTAAGCAGTATTTGTCATTACAAGACGAGGTGAGTTTTCAATTTGTTAACTTCGATATGCGCCATTCTTTTTTTTTTTTTCCGAAGAAGAAATACTTTTTCTTTGATTGATGCTGATAGAATATAACTTTTACACGAAAGAGTTTGCTTGAATCATTAAGATACTTAGCAAATCAAAAATATTCCCCGTAAACCCGTAAAAGTGATGGAGTGCCTCAAAGGTACAGACAATTTAATGAACAAAACATTGAAAATAATCTCAAATGTATTTCACAATGTG